TGCGAACGGGAGCTTTTTTATATCATCCGAAAATTCATCTATCATGCAAAGTAGAGGAGCAGCACATTTTCCAAAATAGCTTTCGTAACTAGTGTTTGACTTTGGGTTTTTTCCTTGATATATATCAAAGTTCACCAAATAACCAGAAGCAGAGTTTAGGCACCACATTTTATACCCAAATCTGATGGGCTTACCCCGAATAAACTGCTACATGAATGCTTCCCAAAGTATTTGATCATAGATTCATCGTAATTCAAGTTCTGTTCAGGTATCCAGTTGTCAATAAAGCGGCGTTTCAAAAGGCCCATCAGTGGGCGTAGCTTCCACATTTTGTCACCATGTACAGGCTGTGTGTTGTCGGCGCAGTGCAAATATTTTAAAATTTGGCGAAACCGATCTCTTCTCATAGATTCAGTGACTAAAATATTTTTTATATCTTGTCTGGAATCCCAGTAAAAGTCCCTTCCAGGTAACTCATTATATCCTGTAACAATCATAATCCCAATTACACATTTCATTTCTTCGTTAGAAATGTTTGGATCCGGTTTATTGCAGAAAAGTGCGTATTTTCTTGATTAGGTCACAAGTAGTTCAATTATTTCGCTATCAACAAACATCTCGAATATATCTAAATAGTCCATATCACTATATTTACTATAATCTTGTTTAGGAAAATACCTGCTCACACGTTCAAAGTCACCTTCAATCCAGGATATTTTTTTTGAACCAGGGCAGACGATATTTGACACTGGCTCCGATTCAGGTACATCGATAAAAGCTCTGACAGCACGAGGAGGGACGATTTCAGCTCCTGGTGTCAACTGTCGACCGCTTAAATTATCTAGAAATCCGCCACCATCTTCATCACCAGAATCCTCATCGGTAAGGACATTCGCATCAGGAGGCTCGATGAATATTTCATGAACGTCCAGGTCTTCTTCATAAACCATTTGCAATGCTTCTTCCAGCGTAAACCCACGCCTAAAAGTAACAAATGAATATACTAGACAATTATTAATACATAAACAAGAGTCCTAGCTTTTCTGATCGCATATATACCACATACTCAACACGCAAGACATTTATACACGTACAATATTTTTTGTCTCCCTAAACCAGCTAGCGTTACCATACGGTAACGCCAATATTTCTGAGGTTACATTATAGAACTTGAAATACTTTCATAACAAAATTTGGTCTAGAACTGAAGAATAACTATCTATAAATACTCTTTTGTAAGTATTTTTAATAACAATTCAAAAAAGAAGTTTTAGTTATACTTACTCTAGACGGATGTCCATCTTTGGAAGCTCGTAACTGTTACCACAATTTTTAAAATTTGAATAAAACTGCCAAAAAGATTTTACGTTGACGTTGTACCCAACAATGTGTTCATTCACATACTAAAAGCGTGTTGACAAATAACCAACGCATTCCGATGGAACCAAAAGCTGTGTTGCCACTTCTAAAATGAGGTTGTCTACCGTTACGATATGGTAACGATAGCCGTTTAAGGGTTGATTTGATAATGCCACATTAGGGATTTTTTTAATTACTATTTATAACTGGGAATAAGCCACAATTAAAGATAAAAAATACGTTTATTGACGTTTCAATTTCCAATTCGGAAATCGTTCTCAAAATACAAACAGTAAATTAAACAAATTTTGTTTTTTGTTACATAGTGAAAAAATTCTTCTAATAATTTAATTTTATCTGACTCATTTATATTGACAATTCAGACATACATTATGCATTTTAAAGTAGAGGACTTTAAAATGATATTGCCAATATTGTTGAGTTGCGCTCCTGGGACGACTTTACTATAAGATAGTTCATTCGATTACATGAAATCAACTTTAACTTGAGAATATCCGTCAGAAAAAATCATAGCATGTAATTCGTCTTTAAAAAGACAAACACATGCCATGATGACAGTAAAATTCTCCCGTTAGTGATTCCATAGTAAATTATGAGGGAAAAACCAGGAAAAAAACCTCATAATACTATCCCGACATTGTAAGTATTTGTTCGTGAATTTAGTTTACCTTCAACAAACATCAAAATTCTGATTTTATATGTTACGTTATTTAAAAAACATAAATGATGTATCCTCTATATGTTACTGACTTACTAATACTGGTATTTTCTTATTAATAACTTCCTCTTTCAATATTGGTAACCAGATCCTACTACATTCTGCCGAGGAATTTGCGACACAATTGGCCTCATTTAGCATAATTAGAGCCGCTTCTTTGATTTTTCTTTTTTTACCATCCGTTTCTTTTAGGACTATATTTGAATTATTCCAGTATTAGTAAGTCAGTAACATATAGAGGATACATCATTTATGTTTTTTAAATAACGTAACATATAAAATCAGAATTTTGATGTTTGTTGAAGGTAAACTAAATTCACGAACAAATACTTACAATGTCGGGATAGTATTATGAGGTTTTTTTCCTGGTTTTTCCCTCATAATTTACTATGGAATCACTAACGGGAGAATTTTACTGTCATCATGTCATGTGTTTGTCTTTTTAAAGACGAATTACATGCTATGATTTTTTCTGACGGATATTCTCAAGTTAAAGTTGATTTCATGTAATCGAATGAACTATCTTATAGTAAAGTCGTCCCAGGAGCGCAACTCAACAATATTGGCAATATCATTTTAAAGTCCTCTACTTTAAAATGCATAATGTATGTCTGAATTGTCAATATAAATGAGTCAGATAAAATTAAATTATTAGAAGAATTTTTTCACTATGTAACAAAAAACAAAATTTGTTTAATTTACTGTTTGTATTTTGAGAACGATTTCCGAATTGGAAATTGAAACGTCAATAAACGTATTTTTTATCTTTAATTGTGGCTTATTCCCAGTTATAAATAGTAATTAATTTACAATGCCACAAGAAAATAGCTTCAGAACAATATTAGGGATTTTTTTAATAAAATAACTTTGTATTATGTTTTATAATAATTGAATATCATGTAAATTGATAAACATTGAGTATGAAATATACAGGGTCATTCACGCAACATGTTGGTTAAAAGTTTTCAAATTTCTGGTCGTCACTGGTTTCTGCAAACTTGGAATAATGGGTTATGCAAAGCATTCTTCATTTCTTAAATATTTGATTCTTCTAGCACTTCCGGTTGTACCAGAAGTCGCCATTAAGTTCCTTATTTTAAATAGAAACTGTGCTTTTTGTTATTCTTTTTAAAATCTACGTAAAATTCTGGATCCATTTTTATTGGGATACCATTCTCGAAAAATAGCCGTTATTGAGATATTTAAAGTTTTTGAAAAATTTTTCATATTACCCATGCATTTTCAAAAATTAATTATGTGATAAATATTTATGCTGAAAAAGCAAAAATTTTTTTTTCAGCGTGTACCAAACTCTATTTTTATTTAAGCATAAAAAAATTTGCCAATGTTAATACTGGGTGTTCAAAATTTTGTATTATATTTTTATTTTTATATATTTTATAAATATATCTATAAAAATATATATATCTATATAAAACAAAGACCGTGGCTGATAAAAGAATTGATAAAAGAGGGATTAAATACACCATTAAACGTAAATCTCCTATTAAGTGAAGACAATATAAAAATCTTTACAATAATTATGATATTTCTTGTAAAAATTAAATGTATGAGTGTAAAATTGATCTTATGCTTGAACATTTCCTTTGTATGTTTACCATATGTTGTCCACCTACCTAACCGTGGTTTATGTCTTGTTTGTTACAATAAAGTCGCTCTGATGAATCCCTGAGCGTGAAAAGTGTCCTCCTTGTACAATCCTGTATGAATGAATACTAATATTTATATGTAATTACGTGGCTAAAGGTTTCAAGCCAAAGCCAATAAACAAAGACTTATTCCTACTTCCCACACACACCTTTCCAAACCCACCGAGGTAGGTTGTCCTCCTGTGGTACAACCAGCCCCGGCTCCTCCGCCCCCTGGTCTTTGGAGCCAGGTCTCGACTATTTCGCGGTATCCACCGTCAGGCAATGGGAGATTTCCGTGTATTTACATTTAAGTAGTAGGTTAGCCCATTTGGCTTTATCACTACCGGTCAAAGCAATTGTTCCGCGATCTAATGATGGTTGTGTGTGCCGATACTTGCTTTCCCTTTTCTGCAAGTCGAGAGCGAGAAACCATCGAATCCTTTCATCCGTCGTCTAATACCCAGTCATTAGTCCTGTCATGTCTTTAATCTACCTTACTTGCTAATCTAATTTTTTTGGTGCTTGCTTTATTTTTTTTGGCGGTTAGTACCCTTTTGTGTTAATTTTTCAATCTACGTCTTAATCTATGGACAAGTCTCATCACTATCTGACTTGCTATCCGGTTCATCTGAATCTTCATCTGTACGAATAATTAAAGGTCTTACTTTCAGACATACTTCTAGATAAAAACTTATATTTATTATTATTTTTTATTTGTATACACTCTAGAAGCTCTTTTTTCTTCCTGTTGGGTTCACTTTTTAGGATCTTGGTTTTCTCAAAATCAAATTTATGTTTTTTTTCGTTTTCATGTTTTGTGAGGGCGGTTGAGTTTTTTTTGTCATATTTGTGGGAACGTATTCTTGAGTTAAGTAGCTGACTGGTTTGTCCAATATAAACTCCATCACAATTCGAGCAGGGAATTTCATATACAACATGCGATCTTTTTAATAGAGCGGTTTTTGTTTTCAATCTTGTAAAATTCCTTTTCAAAAGATTGTGCCCTTTATGAGCAACCGTAATATTATGTTTAGACAGAAGATTTGCAATTTGTTCTGATAATCCTTTTATATAGGGGAGAGACATATAGTTTTTCTTTACCGTGTTGGTTTGATTGTTATTATTGTTATTGTAAAATTTATGCAGTCGCGATTTCATACCCACACCACCTTATCGACAACTCTTTCAAAAGAAAAGTTCCTAAAAGGTATTCAACCCATCTCTAAATAAGGGTATATAAACATCCGATTATTTTATTTAAAGTTTTATTAAACACTGTTTAAAAATATATTTATTACATCTATTACAAATAGATCACGCCAGCAGATATATTTCGCTCATATATTTAGATAAATATAAAATATATAAATGTTACTTACAAAACACTAATTAAACAACTTGGAAAAAAATACTTTTTCTTTTTTTAGGTAAGTAAGTTTATCTTTTTTAACATTATTTAATAGTCGAATGATGTTTTTGTCATTTGGATGCAGACCTAAGGCAGTCTTTAAATCTTTTAAAGCTCTATCATATTCTTTTAATCCCATCATCGCTTGTGCTCGTCGGTAATAGACTTTTCCATTGTCCGGGTCTTCTTTAATCAACTAAAAATGTATAAAAACCTTTAAATTAAATGCACTAGTAATTGACACTGTACCAGTAGTTGAAATTTTCCACTTTAAGCATAAATAATAAGCTTTTCAAATTACTTTTAATGTAACCAATATCATTATAGTTAACTAAGGCCATGTATACGTTTTCTCTGGAACTTGCAAGAAGTTTTCTAACAAAAGTAGTAAGAACGTAAGTTAATAAAATTATTTATAGATTAAATTACTAATTATTTTTTCATTTTGTTGTGTCAACTACTGGCACCTTTGCAACAGTTTTTGTAAATTTTATAAAAAAATATTTTATAAGGCAATTTTTCGATAATGTGTTTGCTGAATATTCAGAAATGATCAGATTTGTACATCTAACTTCTTTCATTGTCATATAATATCCTTTTAATAAAAAATTCAATAAATACACACATTTCTAAAATATATCTATGGAATAAATGTAAATAACGTTTAATAATTTGAATAATTTAAAACATCACTTTCATTTAACAAACAATTACATAATATCTAATTCCTATTTCATTTGTTAATATTTCTCCCCTCAAGAACTTCAGCGCTAATTATCAGTTACAATAAAACCGAAGATTACCCATCACCAGCAATCCAGGATAGTTTGAACTATGTTTTCCGAATCATTAACTAATAATTCGTGTACCGGCATTATTTAATTTACTTGGTACCGTTAGACCTGAAGATGTTTAGCAAAGTGTAGTAAGCGAAACCGATTGTTTTGGTGGTAAAATTAAATTCATTGTAAGTCTTATTTTATTTCTTTTTACCTATATTGGAAGAAATTGCTGTTGCATACGCGAAACCAGATGTTGGAATAGTGGCGACGTAAGTCACATTCGCCGTAAATTGCAAGAAAATAATACAACAGTCAGAAAGCTAGAACAGATCGAACACTGAGCTGGAAAAAGTAATTCAAATGCTGATGCTCAATCAAGACGACCATACAGTGCAAATCATAATCATTGTCTTAAATTAGAAGAACGACTTTGCCCCGTGAGACGAACCACCGTCGTTAATTATCAATGGCAGCCTCAACAGCTACAAGATGCTAGTCCAGAAGTCAAGTGTTACTGGGGCCAATGGAATTGCATAGTGCTAAAAGATGATCTTCTGTATAGAACCTTTACGAATGATGATGGTACAGAATCTAAGCTTCAACTGACTGTACCGAAAAGAAAAGTGTCAGAAGTATTACGTCAGTTGCATGACGGTGCATCAGGTGGACACTTTGGTATTATGAAAACTCTGCAAAAGGTTCGAGAACGGTTCTATTGAGTGAACTATAAAGATGATGTAAGAAGATGGTGCTGGAAATGTGAACTGTGTGCAACCAGTAAGGTCCAGTTGGTAAAAAGAGGGCACCCATGAAACAGTACAATGTTGGTAGTCCTATGGAAAGAGTAGCAATCGACATTGCAGGTCCACTTCCAAAGACGAATGATGGAAATAAATATATCCTGGTAGCCATGGATTATTTTACGAAATGGACTGAGGTCTATGCGATACCAAATCAAGAAGCTGCTACCGTTGCAGAGGTACTGGTTAAAGAATTCTTTAGCAGATTTGGTGTTCCCTTGGAGATCCACTCCGAGCAAGGGAGAAACTTCGAGTTAACCCTTTTCCAAAACGTTTATAAATTGATTGGTGTCAATAAGCCCAGAACGACACCCCTGCATCCTCAATCAGATGGAATAGTCGAGATTATGAACCGAACGATGGATAAACACCTGTCGAAAATTGTATCAGAACATCGAAGAGATTTTAACCAGCCATTCATTTATTCCTAATGGCTTACCGCTCGGCCGTAAATAAAACTACAGGCCAGACTCCAGCCTGCCTGATGATATTTGGTCGTGAAATTCGTTTGCCCTGCGACCTAGAGTTTGGCTGCATACCTTCCGAAGAACATGTTGCAAGCGAAGATTATGTCGACCGTCTGAACTTAGGAATGAACAACATTCATGAACTTGCCTGACAACACATCCAGTTAGCCAGCGACAGAATGAAAAATCAATACGATTCTCGATGCAAAAATGAAAGCTATGAGTAGGTGATCTTGTTTGGATTTATAATCCACAACGTCGTCGAGGCTTGTCTCCTAAACTGCAAAGACAATGGGAAGGTCCGTATGAAATTAAAAAGAGAATAAATGATGTAATGTACCGAATTAAGAAGTTGCCGAAAGGTAAACCAAAAGTAGTTCACATAAATCGTCTTGAACCTTATGCTGGCTCAAATGAAACACAAGAAGCACGAACACTTCAACATGAGATCAAAGATGACCGGCGCGGCGTCCAAGCTTTAATCAATTTATGTCAAATTACGCAGAGATAAAGGGGTGTATTCTGTAACACTTCCGTTAAATTTTAGAGGCCTCTAAAATTGTAGCGTCCGCTAAAATTATTTTTGTATTCTGTAACTTATGCATCTGTTAAAATCATAACTCCCGCTAAAACAGAATATTTTGGAGGGTGTCAAAACTTGTCCTCTTATTTTTAGCAGCACGTTAAATATCATTTGATTATTTTTGTTTGGTTAGGTTTATATGATTATTAGTTTGTTATTGATATATTATAGTGTAGATAAACAACTAAAAAAGACAAATGGCTTTTTATAATATATTTGGCGAAGCTTTAGTTGATGATAATAAATAATAATGAAAGTTAACTCTCAGTTTACTTTATAATCCGTGTGTTACACCTATAACAAAATTCAAATTTTTTATTCTTTTTGTAGAGCTGAATTCAGATTACATCAAAAGATAATCCGAAATATGATCTTTTCCCATAACACATGGACTTTTCCCAAGTCATGTAGTATTAATTTTAATTCCTGTTAGAATTTTATTTTCTTCTAAAAGACATCAAAAACTCTTTTTGAGATTTTGTTGTTCGTGGAGCACGAGACATAATAAAATTTTATTAAAACGAAAATAAAAACAAAGCGAACACAAATAAACTGAAATATATTTTCAATAATAATAAAATAAAAAGTCAAGCAGACTGTCAATTTCTTATTCTTTCTTAAGTTTTTGGCCTCCGACACTCCGTTTTTGGTCAATTTCTACCTTACAAGTAGTTTAAACACGATCAAGGTGCGACGTTGCCGTATCTGATTGAATACTTTTTAGAGGATTCCTCTAAAAAAATATATTTTAGCGGTCCTCTATAATATTTCTTTAGAGAATGTCAATGTTACCTAAAACTTTAAGAGGACCGTTAAAAATTAAATTTTAGAGGCCTCTTAAATTTAACGGAAATGTTACAGAATACACTCCAAAGAGTGCTAGATTAGGCGTGACCACAGAAGTTCAGCAGGATCTTTTTAATGTTCCGCATAACGTCTCTCTATCCCACTGTGTTGACCAAGATCTTGAGATGACTAAACAAATCTCGTCCGTATTTTTTAAAAAGTTCAATTGTTTGGACGAGTTAAAAAATCAGTAGCCTAAAGTTGGAAGAGTACTGAGATTAGAAGATGGTTCTCGATCTTTGCTGTATATGGTGACCAGGAAGTTGTATACAGACAGGGCAACCTACGAGGATATATGGCGTGCTCTAACTGATTTGAAGAAAATCGTGTGCAATTATGACATCAAGAATTTGGCCTTAGCCAAGATATGCCATCTACTAGAAAATCTGGATTGGAAGATTGTCAGAAGCATGCTTGAAGTAATCTTCCGAGAAACCGGCGTACGAATTACTGTGTGTTGTATTAATCCGAAGAGATCAAGTCCTTTAAAGACAGTAGACTATTATTTCTTTCTGAGGGATTCATGCAGAGCTGGAGAGTTCTGTAGATTCCGCCATCCTGGCCATGAAACAAACGAATTAGAGATGGACTACTCCAGAATATTCTAGTACATAATGACTTTTACATATAAGCAGACCTTTTGTGAGTTAAAGTTAGTTGATAAGATATTTTCGTGCTGTAAACTAATAAATAATTATAAATTAAATATAAATTAAGAACCGCTTGTTTTTTTTTAAACGGTACATTGTAATGTCAACTACTAGAACATTTACCCTAATATAGTTATAAATAAGTATAAACGATATAGCTATTCAGTTAAAAACCAGTATATAATATTTTCAGAACAAATTTCAATACTAACCGCCGTACACAAAGACGCGGTTTCCTTGTATTTATTCCTCTTCAACTGGGCACTTGCTAAATTCATCATCAACGTTAATCGTATACTTCTTTCCAAAGTCGGTTCTTTTTTCTTATTCATATACCAATCAAAATATCTTATACACTTAACGTATTTTCGTTCCGCCATCGCAAAATCCTTTTTATTAAAATAGAAGTTACCAGCACTCTTTATGTCATTTACAGTTTGTTCCACTAGAATAGCATCGGCATCTTGTTCTTCCCAATCGTCAGGCCAAGGTGGATATTTATCTTCGGTGCCGTCATCTTCTGTTATATTCCAAGGTTCGTCGGGTTTAAATTCTCCACAGTCAGCTATGATTAACTCCTAAAAAAGGTTTAAGTATTTTTCATTTTGTTTAGAAAAAGAAACTTAGAAAATATGAAGGAAACAATTTCGTTTTTATTACTCAAGAACTTGCTCAGTTGTCCAAGAAATGACTAATAAAGGAATTATCATAACAGATAAGAACTATAAACATAATTTCATTTCAATCAATATACTACTGAATAATCACTTACCCCTAATGGTTTGTCGTTTTCTCGAGGTAGATCTGACATTTCGACAAGTATATTTAAACCTTTTACTACTTTTCCAAACGCTACATTTGAGTTATCCAAGTGGAAACAAGGCTGTGTTGTAATGTAAAACTGTGATTGATTTGTATTTGGTCCCATATTCACCATACCTACAATACCTTCTTGATCATGCTAAAAAAAGGTGAAAATTGGTTAAGTTAGTTTTATTAGGATTATAAAATAAATTTTCTAGTCATTAAATTTTTATTTAGTTGCAGATGAAACTGTGGGAACAAGGTGTTTATCATGTCAAACGAACAAAACAAAATTACGGTATCTTCTTAAGGTGCCTTCTCCATTACTGAAGGTTGGCTATAACTACAGCAAATTGCTCTCTATCTTGAGCTGTTCTTAGTATCGCATGTGTGTCCATGCCTGTCCAGTCTCTTATGTTCTTCAACCAGGAGCATTTTCTTCTTCCTGGACCTCTTCTTCCTTCCACTTTCCCTTCCATTATAAGTCGTAGGAAGTTGTATTTTTCTCCTCTGTAGATATGTCCTAAATAACTCGTTTTTCGGTTTTTTACAATATTTAGGAGTTCTCTGTCAGTACCCATTCTTCTTAGCACCTCGTTGTTGGTCACGTGCTCTGTCCAAGAGATCTTCAGCATTCTTCGAAAAACCCACATCTCAAAGGCTTCTATACGCCTCATACTTGTAATTCCGAGAGTCCATGTTTCCACTCCGTATAGCAATAAAAGCAAATTACGGTATATAATCAATAATTCAGCATTGTGAGCAATAAGAAAGTTAGTTATAGTCAGACAAATGTGACCCATCTACAAATTTAACTGAGATCTCAATGAGAGGCAACAATGTTAAATATCAGGAGTAAAATCTTACCAGGCAACAATGTTAAATATCAGGAGTAAAATCTTACCAGGCAACAATGTTAAATATCAGGAGTAAAATCTTGCCAGGCAATAATGTTAAATATCAGGAGTAAAATCTTACCAGGGTCGTTTTTATTGTGTATGCTTCGATAATATAAATAAGCGAATTATAAGATAATTCCATAAAATTTGCCCCCGTAACAATATAAATTGTGCATACCGGTGCGTTTTTCGAGCGTAAAGTTGGAAAAGTTCAGTTGAATACTTTGAAACATCGGTAAACTTATCAGCATTTCGCTGGGCTATATATTTAAGTGTTTGAAAAAAATATGAATGAGAAAAATATTTTAATCGTTTCACATTCTATATGTGCATAGGCGTGGTGTGTTCTGTTTCCTGTGCATGTAACTTTGTTTTATATGTATTAAATAGACTTTATTCTATTCATTAATTTTAAAATTGTGTGTAGTAAGTAAACAACAAATATATCGCAGAATATTACGATTGATGTTTATTCTTTTTATAGCATTAAGATGGATGTCGTAGCGGGTCCCAGTAATGTCCAAAGAAAGCGGAAGTTTATGTCAGTAGACGAAAGGCAGAGAGTGTATATAGAGTGTAAGAAAATTTAAAAACTACACTTTATACAGTGGAAGCCGTAGCTCAGGGTTCATTTTTAACGGGAGTATCTGTATCGACAATAGAACGCATTGTACGTGAAAAAAAGGAGCCTGAGATTGTGCAAGCTCCAAAAGTACATTGCCGTAGTAGAAAAACAATTGAATTGGACGAGAACCAGAAAAATTTCGTACGCTCTACTATTCATTCTTTTTCTTTGAGAATAAAGCGCCAAACCTCAAATCCATTAGGACAAAGGTAATTGAAAATGGTCTCAATAGAAAGAGAAGATATAGTCTTATAACGACGAAGATATCTTCGCTCTATTAGAGAGGTTCGTTCTGCCAACAAAAAGATTTATTATCTGGACGAAACGTCGGTAAATGCTGGTCACACAGTATCTAAGATATGGCAAGATACTACTATAACGAGTTATCGTCAAACATTTGTGGATGGCAACAGATACGATAATCGTAATACGTAATACGATATCTGTGAATATCGTATTACCATCAAATTCATACTTGTCAGCATATATGTATTACATTTTTGTTGATGCTTAAAAATTAAATGATCTGGTATTACTTATTTAATAGTCTGGTATTATTCAGTAGTAAAGTTTTGCAAAACAGTTTTTGCACTCTCAGTGTTTAATTTATTATTGTTAAAATGAGCCGATGACTCTTATCATGTTTTTGCTTTGTCTACTATCTTTTGTACTCTCTCTGGTCCTGAATCTTTCCTCTCCAATTTACAATTTTTATTTTTGATATATTCCCTAGTAGTTGGTCTTTCCATCTTATTTTAGGCTTAAAATTTTTGGAAAATAACATATCACCTAGTAGGAGCCTAGAACACTTAGTGGAACTATGATGGGACATCGGCCAGTATAAAATCCAAGGATGTGAGGATAGACGAAGTAAGAACTGATGCTAAAGGGATAATGAGGGTGGATAACTGGAGGAAAGTAACCAAGGAAAGGGATGCTTGGAGGCAGATGCTGGGAGAGGACAGGGTCTGACGTGGGCTATAGCGCCATAGGAGAGAGATTATGTTATATGGAGAGTTATAGTATAGTACAGTAAACTGAATGATTTCTATATTAAAAATGTTATTAATAAAATCAATTTTATTGTGTGTAATAAATTATATATAAATATACTCATTTCATTTGCTTTTAACGGAACAAAATCAAATATTCTTACGGAACATAAAATATATGAAATTAAATAATTTACTTTTTAAGTGATGAAAAGTAAATTTTAAAAATGGCTTTACTTTACGTGTCAAAACACACACGATAATTTAATAATTATATCAGTCTTAGATTTAATTTTTACGTAGTTAAGTACATCTGTATTTAAATAAATAATTAAAATCTTATTTTGGTACACATTTGCAAAGTTGATAAGGGAAATATCCTTTCGTCACTTTAAATGTGATTATGCCAATTAATCACCTTCAATCAAAAATTGTTTTAGTATAATGAGAATAAATTCAGTGTAGGTAGAGAGTGACAATAAATTGTAGTAGAGACATTTCCTATGATTTTAAATCCGGTACTTATATTTACTAGCACTGATGATGTTGAAAATAAAACTATAATTTAAGTTAGTACCTAATTTTAATTTTAGTACTTAAATATATAATACAACTCTTCATTATTGATACTATATGGACTTTACAATCATTTAACATTTCTCCTGATTGACACCTGGTCTCAGCTACTAAATCTAACACAACAAATATAAATTAAATAATAAAACCATTACCTTTACAGAAAAATTTTCATCTTCAAAATATTCACCATATATACTTTCTCCGCTGGTTCCATTGTTGTTTATAATATCACCAGTCTGAACCATACACATAGAAACCACTAAAAACAAAATTAAACTTTTACCTTTTCACTTTTCTTGGACCAGACTTTATTTTATTTGTTGTTGATATTGAAAAATCTACATATGTAGTCAACACAACCACAAATCTTTTCAGAACAACAGTGTGCAAAATACAGATTGCCATGATAGTTGTCAACATCCAAAATAGATTAGCAGAAGAATCATCCTAGTCAATATGGCATACTTTGCTATGAACCCGATATTTAGATCATGAGATGTACATCAAAGAACTAAGATACAAATCTACAAGACCATAATGCAACTGATAGTGATCTATGGATGTGAAACTTAGGTGTTGGTTTAAAAATCTGTAAACTACATTGGCATATATTTGAAAGAAAGGTCCTGAGATGAATACTAGGCCCTATAAATGAGAATAACAGGTGGCAAAAAAAGAGACCTACAAGACTGAGAAAGAGCTGGGACAATAATGTGGATAAGGACGCCAGAAATCTCCTTGGCAGTCAATCGTGGAGGAGAATGGTTACAGACTTTAACCGATGGAGAGGTTTGATGAGCGAGTCCATTGCTCGAATTGGGCTGTAAAGCCATAAGATGGATTTTACTAAAGGTACTACATTATCGTTTATATATATATTAAATCAACAGTACTGTAATTAGTTTTTGGGTATCTTTCCTAATGCTACTTAAACCTTTTATGAATCTTAACTTTATCAGCTTCTTATACCATACCATACCTTTATGAAACTTTGTTCCTTTGTAATGAAGCGGCTTTCCCTTTTTACCAATTCCTTTTTCACCTGTACATAGAGTTCTAAAGTTTTCCACAGTCTTTGGTACTTGATCATTGTATAATTCTATCACGACTCTTCCAGCTGGAAAACTATTAATTAAAATTTATTACCTTTTTAATTGTTACTATAAAACCTTTAAGTCCATCAAATTGTATATCTAAATATACGAAAGTGTTTGCAACTTTCTTTTCCGGGTCCATGTTATACTTTTTATTCTGCAAAATAAAGGATATACTGGAACCCACAGAGTATTTTTTATTTGTTTATATCCTAAGTCTAAAATACCGAACTATTGGTTATGGTTATATTTGACATTGAAAAAGAAGAACCCAGTCCAAATTCGATATAGACGACCAGTAATTCAGTAGCATATTTATAGAATTTAATCGAAAAAAGCAAATAGAATGAAAACCAAATTAAAATTACTTTGATATCAAAATAAAGATAAAATATATTTTTATAGTGTTACATTAAAATAAAGATAAACATATGGCAAAGTTATAACGTTTCCATAATCTTTTTTCACATCCCATTTACTTAGCAAGTAAATTACATCTATGATCATGTCATTCACATTTTCAGTTCTGCATACTGCATGATTTTAGCAATGGATTAAAAAGTACCTAATCCAGATTTTTTAACAAAACAATCATGTACAGATATCGAACGTTAAATTTTTTATATTATATATTTTTTATAATATATAATTTATTTATAATATTTTTAATGTGCCATTGTTTCTTTAAAATAAACTAGCGGACCAACTCGACATCGAGTTTTTTAAATGAAATTTTTATTTTGCGAGAAAAATTAAGAGATCAATACAAACAGCAATATAAGCAAGAATAGGTATAAATAACATTCATCAATAATAATGCAAGTAAAAAGTGTATTAAATATCATGAAATATTTCGTCGAAAACAAGGTTACAATGTCTCCATTTTCTGATAACTTTTGCTTGGCACTGGGAGTTATGTAAACTTTTACTTTTTACTTTTTAATAACAACGAAACCGGAAGTCGACCTCAAAACCGGAATGCAATTTTCAGTTCATCAAATGTCGACATCTATATCATTTAGCAGTTAATTTTGCATGCTGATCACGAATCCGGTGTCAGATTTGCTCTATCTTGACGTTTTATGCGCGTTTCGGGTCACTTCCGGTGTCGGATCGCAACCGGAAGTGCATATTTAGATTCGTCTCGACGAGACCTTTCGATCCATATATACATTGTGGGGTCTAAAACTTAAAGTAAATTTTAACTTCCGGTCATCTCAAAACTGGAAGTGAATTTTTGTACCAAAAGTATATCTTGACAATCTCATACGTAATACTAATAATATTCCGAAAAAATATTTTAATTATCTAATATGGTTTTTGAGTAAAGTGGTGGTCAAGAAAAGGGCTTAGCGTTTTAGTATATAAGATTAACAAATAATAATTTCGTATTAAGTTATTTTTATACATTGTCCTTTATGCAAATTATCTAACTAGACGTAAGAAATCTGAGGGAAGATGGTGTAAAAGAGAAAAGATAAGAAAGATAATTTAATGACCGACGAGATACTGGACATGATGGACTAACACAGACAAGCCAGTGCAGATGCCACCTCATCATAAATTTGATGTATCGTATACTTAAAATGTTCTTAAAGATCATCCACATACAAGTTTTACCAAAAACGTAATATGGAATTGAAGAAACTTAATTTGAATTCCGTAGAGGCATAGATATCCGAGGAGCTCTATTTGCATTTAATATAAATATACTTATCCAGAGATGCTTGGATGTTTGGATGTACCAAAATATGTACGTCTGTTTCATAGATTATAACAAGACTTTTAATAAAATCCGTCACACACAGTTAATGTATGTCCTCAAAATATAACAAATAAACTACAATGACCTTCAAATTATAACGAATCCATATTATAAGCAGCGGACACATCGTGACCAAACACCAAACTGATAAAGTAGCAAATGTGCAAAATTGACGTAAAATAAATCTGAACTCTTGTCAAGATGTATATCACAGATTAGGTATATTATATACTCAAGATGTATATTCCAGTGAAACAGTGAATGTGCAGGTCCAATATTTAAGTCATTGTTGACTGTTTTAGTTTAACAAATCTACATCTACTTCACTATTTACAACGCTAAACAGTCAAATATGAATATTCGATATGTAAATAAGCGAATGTGCCACATTCGCACTTTTACCAAAGTGTATTATAACATATCCTCAAAATAACGAAAGTGGCATATAATGCTTTCCATAAATTGCCATCCCTATTAGAACAACGACAGTTTGATATAAAACACGTTACTGTGCAACCAAAATCAAGAAAAGTGACAAAAGCAATGGAGTTACGAAAATCTTACACAAGAAAAATACACTTTTTGCACTGAAAATGGCAGAGCCATTTCTCCATATTGAGCATATTAAACATAAGGAAGCAGCACGAAAAATTAGACATCAAGACAAAGAGGATACAAAGGATCAAGAAAGTGTTTTGGCAATACAATCAGATCTCCAAGCCGTTCCGAACACACTAAAGGAACACACAAAAGGAGCTAGTGGACCATTCTTCTACGTCAGAAAGTTGGCTATATATAACCTTACCATTTACAATCTTAAAGATGCCACTGTTAACTGTTGTGTCTGGGACGAAACAGAGGGAAACTGGGGCAGTATAGAGATATCGATATGCCTTTATACTTATTTGATGAAATTTTAAATTCATTACCATTTGTATGAATGTTGTTAAGGAGCACCCCTTCGATCAAACAAATTGATAACATGGTTTTTGAATCTGGTTATAGCCAAATGGAGTGTGACTCCGTTCATGCCAAAATAGAGCAGCAATGTAAAAATGTCCTAATTTTTACTCCGGAGGGGTGGTGCCAAATAATTCACACTGCTAGAAGTAAGCCAACACCATTTCAACTAATGCCTTTCTGCCATCATAATTTCACTGATTTCTGTACTGATAAGATTGCTTTTGAGGACCTTGACAGTGGCAATAAAAAAGTAACTACTTACCCTTAAAAAAACATTTGGTTTAAGTATACCTGTCAACTTATCCAGCGGCTGTATTCGTGAGGACGAATTACTCAGATGACGCACCTTCTGTGAAGTACATTGCAAAAGGGATGAACACTGCTAGAAGTAAGCTAACACCATTTCAACTATGCCTTTGTGCCATGATAATTTCATTGATTTCTGTACTGATAAGATTGCTTTTGAGGACTTTGACAGTGGCAATAAAAAAGTAACTACTTACCCTTAAAAAAAACATTTGGTTTAAGTATACCTGTCAACTTATCCAGCGGCTGTATTCGTGAGGACGAATTACTCAGATGACGCACCTTCTGTGAAGTACATTGCAAAAGGGATGAAAAATAAACGGGAAAGACCTTCTTATCATAATTCTCCAATAACACCTTACAAATCGAGGTTCCCAATTGCTACCAAAAAACTAAAAGACCTTCAAAAGTTTTGTAAGGATCTTCAAATACCACGTGTTTACCATGATTTCTACACAAATCTTCCCTCTGAGGACGTACGAGATGTCCTTCCAGAGCCAGATGCCTCTAAAGAATTTGAGAGCGAATCATTACAACTAAACCAATAATCTTCTAAATTTTAAAGCAAAATTATAAAATAATTTAGCGTTACATTAAATTTTGTTCAATTGCCAAATGCAGATTCGCTACTTTTTATAGCCCAACATTCTAACAATAGTCACTAAACTATATTATTTATCTATGATAGCCACTGGTGACTAATTGTGAATAATGATATGTGACTTTCCAGTAACTATGGTTACTTAGCCTATTTTCATTATTAACTTTTTTAGGCATTTTTACAAGGTTTCCAGATCAGGTGTGTAAAGACAAATAACATCACAAACAGATTTTTCGTCGAAGCTCAAAGTGTTTTGTAGCTCCCCTGAAAAGTAGCGAATACGCACGTTCCATACTTCATCAATTTGGTCACGATATATGCCCTAATGAACACACTCCAGAAGAGTTCGAAATTAAAAGAGACGCACAACAGGGATGTGTATTGATGACATTGACGCCACTACTGTTCAACGCATACTAGGAAGAAATTATGAAAAGAGCTCTCGACGCAGAAACGGCTGGAATAAAGGTCAATATCGTGATGGAACACCATAAAAACAAACTAAGTCCTGAAGAGGCGGAAAGCCTAAAGCAGGACAACAAAACCCCAGAACCAAGAAATCACCCTTCTTCTTCTTAGTCGTTAACCTGATGCAGGTATCGTGATATCATGAAGCTATTAGCTAATTTTTCCAATGTCACTCCACGTTTTTCTATCTTCTGCCATTCTAGCACATTCTGACAAGGGAGCGCCAATGGTAGCAACAATATGGTCCGTGTATCGTGTGGAAGATCTACCTCTATTTCTTTTGCCTTCTATCTGGATGGTAAAAGACCATTTCTTCGAAGCACATGTCCAGAATAGCTTATTATTTGTTCTGATATTTGTATTCTTAGTCTTTTCTTTATGTTTAGCTGGTCCAGTATGGATTCACTTGTTCTTCGGGCCACCCATGGTATTCTCAGCATTCGTCTTCAGCAGTACATCTCAAATACATCTATGTTCTTTTTGTCTTTCTCAGTAAGGGTCCAGCATTCCGATGCATAAGTAAAAACTGGAAAAACTAGACTTCTTACTAGTCTCATTTTTGTATCGGTTAGTTATTTCATGGCTTTTCCGAACTTTTGTTAATTTTGCCATAGCGCTTTTTGCGATTGCTGACCGCCGCTTTATTTCTTCAGTACAGCCTCCTTTGTTGGTTATTAATGAGCCCAGATACACAAATTTATCTACAACAGCGATATTGTTTATCATGACCAGATGATTTTGAGAAAAAAAGAAATCACCCAATGAGAGTTAAAACTGACAATGAATGAATTAACAATACATTAGGTATGTAGAATGCGTACGGACAACTTCCATCACCTCCAGAGGCCGATGAACGAAATAATACAGTATGGACGAGAATATACTTAGACTATTATTAAACATAAAGAAAACTAAATTTCTGACTATATCGAAATCCAAAATAATGATAAAAGCTTGAAAATGGTAATACTTTAGTTTAAATGGTAATTACTCGAACAAGTAGAAAACTATAACTCTCTTGGAACAATAATTAATCACTACTTGTAATAAACTAATAAACTTCAATAAAACGAGAAAGGTACTTTGTACGCAGATATTTTGCACGAGAGAACTTCCTCTT